TATTAAAAAATTTATTTCTATCTTCTATATTCTATATAATATAAAATCAATATTTCTTTTAAAAAAAGTGTTTGAAGCATCATTATACTGAAAACATTTTCGATTAAAAAAAAAATATCGATTATCGAACATCTCATTTGTTTCATACCATCTCATTTGTGTCATGATATCCGATTGATTCGGAGAAATGACAAGAATTTAATTTCATTTGCGACTTCTTTTCTTCCATAGAAGGAGCGATAAGATTACGTATCACGTTGCGAGGCTGCGTTTTAAGATGAACATGCTATACTTTAAACAAGCAGGGATATGTACATAAATCGCAAAATGTTGCTCGCATCCGACCAAAAATACTGATCACACGCGTACATACATGCATGCATAATTTGGTTGTAAATTTATGGCAAAATCTGGTGCGACCAATGTTGAATGCACGCGCATTCGACATCGTGCATTTCCTATATATATATGTATATATAATACATAGAATGTTAGAGCAGTAAGTTCATCATTTTTCTCTTCCATAAAGCGTGAAAACATTAGTTATTGGAATTCGATAATGCAGGATTACTCTCGTAGCGTTTAATTTTGTATGAGTGGTTGCACTTGTAGGCGAGCGCGTGTCATACACAATAGCAAAATTTTCGGATTCACATGGAATGAACATAATAAAAATGCATACAATATATAACATATCGCAATTTTGATGCGGTTTTTTGGTAACTTCTCATTCTTTTAACGATTTTCAAGAATTTAGCTTGTTAAAGAATTTGGTTGATGATAGAAACATTGATGTTTGTATTGTGCGAAATATCGTTAGTTCTTTGAAACTGTATTTTTTCAAATCTTTTGCAAAAATTTTTAGAAGAAAATATTGTTATATATTTTCACTGGTATATATATATATATCGAAATGAACTTTGCCTTTTTGTTTTCAAGTTTCTTAGGCTTTAAAGAAAAAAAATGTAGCATACGTTTGTGATCTTTACATACAAAATATGACCTGGAAAGAGCAACTGGTATATGTATTATTCGAATTTATATAAATATGTAATTTAAATCGCTCAATTATTTAGGAATCGCGTATTACGCAAAAAATAACTTTGTAAACGCGTTTGTTTGAAGATAACATCCGCGCAAACGTTTTTATGTATAGATGACAGAGTAGAGAAGAGCGG